AGAGATGAAGCAACAGGAGCTGCTTTGCTGCTGAAAGCGTGTTTGGTGTGAACTTAGCATCACATAACAGAAAGAATTTGGAACAAATACTTTCAGAGATTTTAAATGTTTTTGTCAGAATATCCATAGAAAAACTAAACTTAGAACGTTAAAAGAGAGGTGAGAAGAATGACTTTGAGCAAACGGAGCTCCCTCTGTGGATGTCCTACCTCCTTCAGCTGCAGCTTGCTGAGAACAGACGTTGGATGGCAAAGGACCTTCTTCTCTCGGTGACTGCACAACAGAGAGGCCTTCCTGTTGACGTGAACTATGTTGGGATACATGCCGGCCACCAGCGCCGCCTTCACCACCGCCCAGTTCTCAGAGTTCAGATTGACGTCGCGGATGTCGCTGTCTCCGCGGGCGCGCACAAAACCTGCAGGAGAAAAAACGCCGCCCCCGTTAGCAGACATAGAACAGGTGAGTGGCCTGCAGGAGGAACATCTGTTAGAAACCAGAGGAGAACCGACCAATAGCACGGAGCTGTCCCAGCAGCTGTGTCCTCATGCCCAGAATCATGTCCATGGTAGACTGGGACAGGAAGTTCTTCTCACAAAAGGATCTATCCCAGCCCTCGCTGCGGGCCTTCTGCCATCCCTAAAACACAGCAAAGGTTAAACGGCTCCTAGAGGAGCATGTAATAACATCTCATGTTTCAGCTGTACGGGGTGGACGGTGTTTCTCTCCACAGGTTTTCATTCAGTAAACATAAAGAGGCGAGTCTGAATGGAGGCTTTGCTTCTCTTCTAACAAACAGCTGCAGGTAAACATCATCAGTTTCAAACAGCCATGGATGAAGCATCTCCATTTAGAAGATATCGACTCATCATCCTGTTCATCACAGGTGGAACTAAAGCCACCTGCAACCATCTAGTCCATCCATCCTTAACCGTTTCATAACAGGTCACTGATCGTCGTCAACCAGAGTGAACATTTCTATAGAAACATTCAAAGATGTTTGACTAGAAAACTGTTTCTGCAACGTGTTCCTGGCCGCGTTCCCATCAGAACCAGTGACCTCCAGGGTTAACCCCGATGGGAACCCGGCCGTGTTCCNGTTGATCCCTGCAGGCTCAGCTCTTTGGAGGACGCTTCTGAAGGCCTCATCATTGGTCTGTTTGTGACACCCCATCATACTCCCCCTGCATGCTCCCATCAGGAGACCAAGTTTACTTTCCTCTTCTTATTGGTCCCACTTGCTTTGCTAAATAAACGTTAGTGTCTTCAGTCAGAGGCTTGTCCTTCAGAGCTGTGAGATGGACCTCTACAGGAGAGCCTTGCAGCATCAACATCTAACACCGCGGCTTCAGTGATTTAGCGTGTTTCTGTGTACCTGTGGATGGACGGTGTACCTGGAAGGCTCTGAGAAGGGCCATGTGGTCGCTGAAGGTGCTGGCGGTGAAGTGCATGCGGCTCTGCAGAGCAGCTCTCTTCTGGGAGCTTTCAGCTGGAAGCGTGAACGGGTCACGGTAGGCCAGGCTGCAGGCGATGGTGAGAATGGGGTCCAGGCACTTGAGCACGACGCCACACAGCACCATTTTGCCCAGGTGGGACTCCACGGGTAGGTCGGCCAGGTGGAAGCCCAGGTCAGTCAGATCTTCGTTCTGGTCCAGGGCGTCTATGGTCTGAGCGACATGGAGACATGCGTTATGGACGGGCAGACCTTTCATGGACCTCAGGAGAAGGTTTCACCTTCAGCATCTGGACTGCGCTCTGGATGGAATGTGTGGGAGGAGGCTGAGGAGCTTTGGACAGGAAGTCAGCGATTGGACAGGAGGAAGGAGCCAGCAGCTTGGTCTGCAGACACAGCTCCTGAGGAACACATCAGCTCACCTTTAGCTTTCAAACAGCAGCTCTCCTGATGGGGCTGAACAAGAACCTCTACGGTGACAGAAGGCAGATCAGCTTCACGGTGTTTTAAAGCCATCTGCATCCTTTCAGAGGAAGATGGAAGCGTCTGAGCTTTACCTGCAGCGGCATCCGGAGCAGCTGTGGAACCTGGAACTCCTGCATGTTCTTATAGTGGAATCGACTGAATAGATGGAAGCAGATCCCTGGTCTGCAGCGGCCCGCCCTGCACAGACACAACGCCACAGGATCATCATCACCGCTCAGTGGAGCTTCTAACTGAGCGCTTTTACCCGCTAAATTAACAAGAATTAGATGACTTTGTTTGAGCACATTTTTCTAGTATTTGATTTCTTTAAATCTGTGTTTTTTGAAATTTTTTGTTTCTGAAATTTACTTTCAAGTGTCCGGACAGAAGATTTATCTCGCCGTCTCAAAAAAGAAATGGTTTGTTTTGATCCTCCTGCTGACCTCCAGGGACCTCGATGCCAGACTCCTTTAAACTTCTAAGAGTACTGAGGCTGAATCCTGCTTGACAACGCCAAATTGTTGTGGGAAAAAAGTATTCAACTATTCACCCTAGTTAAATAAACAGAGCTCTGGATTTACCCATGGATCTATGTTTTCACCCTCAGCTATGGTTATGAGATCTGGGTAATGACCCAAAGGATCGTGAATACAAGCGGCTGAAATGAGTTTCCTTCGCAGGGTGGCTGGGCGTACCCTTCCAGATGGGGTGAGGAGCTCAGTTACAGGGGAGGAGCTGGGAGTACGGTTGCTGCTCCTCCGTGTGGAAAGGAGACGGCGGAGGAGGTTCGAGCATCTGTTCCGGATGCCCATCTCTGCTTACAGTATACTGCTGTCAGACATGTTCACAAGTCATTTTTTGCAAGTCCAAGTCAAGTCTCAAGTCTAGAGTAACCCTGTTGCAATATTAAATTAATCGCACAATAAATTCTAATCACATGATTAATAAAAATAAGTTTAATAATTTGCATGCTTGCTTGTTTCTCCTTGTGTTTTCATCTCCGTCACTGAGACGCTATAGCTTAAAGGTCGCAATTATATCTATGGAATGATCATTATCTTGAACTGGTAAGTGAAAAATACATGCTTATATGTCACGTAGCGTTGCGTCAGTGACGTCAGTGCTACGTGACTGTTTGACAGCCCCTCTGCTGTTTTTTTTTTTACCTCTGCTGTGTGCGGGTAAGGCGAGCGGCGATCAGTCAAGTTAGTAAAACAAAAAACGCTTAAAAAATAAAATATTGTTCACAAGTCGGAAATCGCGGGTCTCGGTCGAGTCTGAAGTCCTTCAAATGCAAGTCTAAGTCGAGTCTGAAGTCATTAGATATGCGACTTAAGTGCGACTCGAGTACGAGTCACAAACTCGAGTCCCCACCTCTGACTGCTGTACTCTGAGAGTACAGGAGGGTTTCCTGTTTCTTGGGCCTCACCTCGGAAAGCTCCCCCCATCCCCTCTCGCATTTAGACACGGAGGGTTCTGGGGGTTGTCTGGTCCAGGCGTGGGGTGGGTAGCCGGGCCCAAAGCAGACCCCGGCCCCCCATTCAATCCGGATTTTAGGTTCACCTATTGGGTCATCCGGTAATCCCGGGACCGGCCACCAGTGCCTTTGGGTCGGCGGTCCTGGGATTATTGGATATGGGCAGTGATGGGAGTAACAGCGTTGACAGTAACAGGGTTACTAACGTGTTTCCGCTGGCGGGTGTTAACGTACAGCACACACAGAGAGATGGAGAGTGAGGAGGACTCCAGCAGCAAAACAGCGTTTTCCTGATGGAAATACCGCTGTTACGTCGAGCTGTGTTTCCCCATCAGATACGGTTTCCCCTGCATCTCCGCACAGCGCAGGCGGCACGATTCACCGCGTAAGCGACAGGAAACGCGCATGCTCGCTAAAGGCGCGCAACAGCTTCAGTGCTCTGGAGGGGGCACCTCTTCAGCTCTCCACAACCACTATTGAGCATTTTTCCTTTGGATAAACTTTACATGCACAGTGCACCCTCACCATCAACTACAGGTGCTTGGTTCCAGGTACCTAGAGATTCACTTCCACACAGAAAGTTCATATTCTACATTCAGCTGCCACAGTATACATGTCAGATTAAATAATATTACTTACACTTCAGCGATATTTTCAAGATTTTACTTTATTTTATTTATATCTAAAACTATATCCGTTGGTTGTGCTGTTCTTTTTCCATCTCTTTGCAGGTGATGAAGCAGAATAAAGATGTTTTATCATTATCTCTCTTTTATCTCCTCTTTCTTTCATCTTTTCTCCTTTTTTTCTGTTTTTCCTTTACTGTTCTACTTACATTGCAGTGTCCATATAATCTGTAAAACTCCCTGCATAATTTATAATAAAGCAATTTATATGCATAAATCAAGCTGAACACTATGGCGATAGCCGAACTGCTCCACTGGTGAAAGCACAATCTGTTGGGCTCTTTTTGGCATCAAGACAATTATCCTCATGGCCAGCACTGTTTAAAAAAAAGAGAGGGACATCTAGCGTCAAACACGGAGGAAGAGGAGTGATGGTCTGGAGGAGAGGCAGACTTGAAGGAACACACGCAAAACAACCTGCTGTTTTCTGCAGCGCCACCAGGAAACACCCTCTGGTTGGTCAGGTTCCTCCCAGCGGGGAGATGGTCAGATGGATGCTGGGTGGAAATAAACACCAAGAGCAGAAGGTTTCCTAATCTGAGAGGAGATCAGGTCCAGGATGTCCTCCATCCTCCCTGAATGTGAAGGAAAGCTCAACATTCCCGTTGGAGTGACTCTCTCTGCTGACTCATCTGAGAAGAGTTTGGACTAGTAGAGATGTTTTAGATAACTGGGATGTTGGTCATGTCTGATGATGATGAATCATCTCTATGCTGAAGGGAGGTCAGAGGTCAGCTCAGTGTTTTTAGCTAGCTTCAGTTCTCCCACAGGGCAGGATAGCTTTAGGTGTCTGAGCCCATATAGCAGCTGATCTACCAGATTAAAAGTCTTTCATCTATCAGCATTGCATGTACCCACATCTAAATCCATCATGATCTGCACTATTAGGCAGAATCTCCAAGCCAAATTTCCCATTTTTTCCTAGGATGGTGAAGGCATCACCTGCACTACTCTGCTTCTAATTGGCTATTACACACTGCCTTTAGTGAATACATCGGTTAGCTGTAGGCATGACGACCAGTGAGCCAATCGGAGGCAGGGAGGGGCGGGTCCTGCTGAGGTTATTATTGCTCACATATTAAATAACATTTTAACTATTTGCCTTTAGGATTAGCAAAGAATGGCTAATATGAAGTCAGTTTGTCAAACAAAGCTTTCATTTCCTAATTACGAATGTCCTCGTGAATTAGCATTAGCCAGCAGTTTGGCTAATGTTAGCAATGCTAACCCGTTAGCCTAACATCGATGGCTGCTCTGCCCCCCCCCATCCCTGCAGGATAAGATGCTGTCAGTAAAGAGGAAGGTGACTCTTCGTCCTTAAAGATGTTGCTACAACTGTGGTTGATGACATCACTACGCTGGGTGGGCGTGGCCATTTCTACTGTTGGAGCTCATAAATGAGGTTAATAACATGTGAAGCCCAGACAGTACTGGGTTAGGAGGATTACAGGATTAATGTTTTATGATTTCTTGCATCGATGCAACTATAGAAATACAGTTAAAAAAGTCAGATTTTTTGTGTTATTTTTATTTTGAGGATTTGGCAAAAATGGAATATTTATAATAGGACTCCTTTAATTTCAAACCTCCATGTGGAAATAAAACCACAGTAACAATATGATACTCTTTCCCCCCACAGATCTGCAGATCCACAGCCCTGCTTTCCATCTCTGTTTGGTTTCTTTTTGTTAATAAATGTTTAGAAACTTCCCGCTGTCTGTCTCGCATAAATACCGGCTCCTACATTCTGGTTTCATGACTCTATGGAAACACAAATAAGCCGATACCACCTGCCTGGCACCGTGCTGCACTGAAAGGTGTCGCAGGATATGAAGCTAATCTTTGATACAAATTTTAAATTTATATATTATACACATTTTTACAGCTTTGGAAAACATAAACAATGTTTGTCATCCTATACACCATATTAAAACAAAACAAAATCCATCTTTTTTTATTTTGTTTGCTTTGAAAAAGTGCGGGTAAGCCACAAGGGGGCGCTAGAGAGCTGCGGGTTGCCGACCCACGCTCTAGAATCACAAACATCCAGATCTCACCTTCCTTTCCTCTGCAGGACGCTGGCTTTGCAGATCCAGACAGACTTCAACATGGAGACGCGACTCAGCGTATCAAAGGACTTCTGCCACAGAGAAAGGCCACAGACAGGCAGCGTGTGACTAAACTGATGGATGTTTCATGTTCTGCTCACGCTGCGACTGCTGTTCTGGGATCAGCACCTCTTTGACTTTCCCTGAATCGATGACGAAGACCACGTCATCGATGGTGATGCTGGTTTCAGCGATGTTGGTAGAAAGAATCTGAAAGAACCAGATGGAAGAAAGCAGGTGAGCAAAGCCTCCGTCCTGGATGATCAGAAAAGCCAAAGTTTGCGTTTGTTTCCCTTTTTGTAACTCACTATCTTCCTGACGCCGGAGGGAGTCGGCTTCATGGCTCTCTTTTGGTCCAGAGTCTGCATGTCCGAGTGAAGCGTGAAGACCTGGTAGCTGAGAGGAGACGCACCCAGACAGAGGGACACACTGAGGCCAAACAATATGAAACAAAGCCTAACACAGATGAAGATTATAATCTGAAACCTGCAATGTGCCTTGAAACATTTTAAAAGAGTAATGAGCTAAAATGAGCTTTGATCTGTCCAGGAACAACATGTGAAAAATAGCCTTTTAGCTAATTCTGGTGCACTTGCAGGAATGCTTTTTAATGTACACTGTCCCTGTCAAATAAATAAACCTAAGCTGTTAAACTAGCAACGCTGAGGCGATTCAGCAGCAGACCAGTTGGCTCTGAGTCAGTGGCTGACGGTCCAGAAGGCCGACATGCAGGAATCGGAGGTGGATCACACTGATTTGGTGTCGATCTGATCTCCTTCCTGTTTGCTCAGACGGATACAGTACCTCTCAGACTGTGTGGACATCCTATCGTCAGAGAAGATGCGGTCCCTCAACGTCACAATCTCATCGTATCCAGGAAGAAATATGAGGACAGCGCCTGTAGAGGAAAGTGCTACAGTCAGACAGCTGGTCAGGATCAGAAGGCCATCAGAAACCATTTGATTCAGGAAGCAGAAGCTGGCCTGTTTCTGATCAGTCTTCAGGGAACAGAGATCAACTCTGGTTCCTTTAGCTGCAGAAGGTTGGAAGCTAACGCCTGTTCTGAAGGACCCAGATTTTTAGCCAGGAACACATCATAGGCTGCACACCTTGGTGCATCACCTCTTTAGGCTTTGTGTTATTTCCTGCTGTTTGAGGTGGAATGCAGCTAACTTTTAGTCTTTGTTCCAACAATACTTTTGTCCTGATTAAGGGACGTATGTGTGCTTGACTAGAGGTGGAAGAAGACATGAGATTTTTCTATGTGAATTGTTTCAGTGTAACTTAAACTTACTGCTAAAGGTGAAACTTGATTGCTACATAAACAAGTTGAACATCAATGACCAACAGTCTATAAATAACAGCACAAGCTGCAAACCAACAGGGGAACAAGAGCAGAGCTGTTTTTATTTCTGTCTAGAATCCAGCTGACACTGAAACTAATCTGAAACTTGACTGTCAAATTTTCATCTTAGTACCAGTAGCAGCTGGCCAAAAGAGGGCGCTAGCGTGCCAACCCACTCACCCAATGACCTTGAGACATAAAAAAAAAACAAATAAAAAATTTTATCATAAAAGCTAAATATTTTTGGAAAAATATTAATATATGTTTTAGATGTGTAAGATACATATTTAATCTTTAATGACCAGTAAAGCTGTTTCGTTCGTCATCGGATTGGTGACGTATTAAATCTTCTACATAGACTCTGGTTAAAGTTCTCCATGAGCAGCAGCTCCTCTTCAATGCAAAGATAGGAGCATCCTGAAGAGCAGCTCTCCTGCACCCAGAGCTGAAAGCAGCTTTATTTGCTCACCACCTCCCTCCACAGCGCTGACATCACAGTCGTCTGTTAGAAAGTGCTGTTGATTGACAGGTTTATAGAATTATTTAGATCCAAGGCTAGGCTAACTGCCTGCAGCGAGGCTAACTGCACGCAGCGAGGCTAACTGCATGCAGCGAGGCTAACTGC